TCAAGTAAATAAATTAAAATCAAAAATACAAAATCATAACAATATATATATATATATATATATATATATATATATATATATATATATATATATATATATATATATATATATATTGTTATGATTGTTTATTTTGAGTTCAAACTTAGTTTATTGAGCCAATAAAAAAGAATTATAACTTATTTGTTATCAAAAGTAAAATAATCCTTATATTACCTGTGTTCGATGGATTCAAAAGATTTTCTAGTTGTCTTTTATCGGGATAGAGAAGAAAGGGATAAGAATACAAATATATTATATTACAAAGATTTACGTTTCTTTATTTTATATGAACGAATAAAACAATTATTAAATTCTGTCGTTATCTTATCAATCAGCATACAAGAAAATAAATCAAATTATTATGATAATAAGATTATACAGCTACATACATTTATATTACTTAAGAAACCAATTTTACTTAAAATTTTCTTTACTTGAAAAAAGAAACCACAAAACTTTAAACCTTTGATTAGCCTAACAAAACCTCAGTTCTTAAATTTAAATGATAATGACCATGATGTCGAAACGATCCTTCACAGATATAAAATTCAATTGTACAAACACTTACAGTTTATTTTCTTCTTGAGTTGTATGTTGGAACATACCCAGAAAAGTCCAGTCTCCTCAAATATGTGATCTCCCCTCTTTGGCACCTCGGCTCCTTCTTTACGTCTCTGCAAACCTCCTTCAGACTACACAAAAAACACCTGATTCACTTCTCCAAACTCCGCTACTTATTTATGACACCAGGACCTCCTTTTGTCAACTTGCTGCCGTAAGAATACTTTCACATATACTTTATAAAATGCCCACGGTAGATACAAGGACCTCTTTTAATCCACTTGTTATCTCCTTCTTCAAACTATTCACTTCTTTTCGCTAAGGCCGGTATCCAAACTCACGAACCACACCCTATCTTGAGACAAACGACTGTTTTCTTTCGATGACCAAAATATGACTAACTTCTCCTCTCTCATGATCGACTCACCAAATTCCCATTTAAAAACGACCGTCCAATCAAAAAGCTTAAATTGTGTTTACCATGATTTTGGAAAAGCCTAATTTCGGTTTCAGAGAAAACTAAATAGCTTACTTTAAAATTGGTTTTTTTTCAATACATCATTTATACATATTTCAAAAGATTAAAATATGGTCATTTAATACTCGACTATACAAACAATGAAAAGATTAACTTACAGGTAAAATGTCTTCTAATTCTAAACAAAGGTTTTTTGATAATTTTGTTTGAAACGGAAAAAGGTCGTTTGCCAAACAAATTTCTATTCTTATCTACACTAAATCTTATCTTAAATTACTATATACAATTTGTTTATATTGATATCTTGATATTTTATTTCGATGGATTTTTTTATTTATTTTTTCTTTGGTTGGAAAAGAAAAAGTATGACAATATATATATATATATATATATTATATATATATATATATATATATATATATATTGGTCTACCTTTTCTATGGAGAGGGTTGGTAAAGAAACAGAACTAATCACCACTATACAAACCAGAAAACTGGAATACCTAGGCCACGTGATGAGGGGACCAAAATATGAAATCTTGAGACTGATAATACAGGCAAAGATTCAAGGAAGAAGATCTGTTGGCCGAAGGCAGAACTCATGGCTAAAAAATCTACGTGATTGGTACCAATTCAGATCGATTGATTTGTTTAGAGCAGCAAGTTCTAAAATAAAAATAGCCATTACGATTGCCAACCTCCGTAGGGAGACGGCACTCTAAGAAGAAGACCTTTTCTATATTGATGTTATCTATCGTGATGTTTTCTAGGCTGTTGCTTAATATCTTTGTTTTGTCGAGATTCATTTTTCATCCTATTTGATTCGATTTGTGATTTAAATCTTGTAGCATTGATTTCAGTTCATGGATATCTGTGCTTATTAGTACTATGTCGTCTGCGAAACGCAAATGGTTAAGATATACTCCATCTACTTTTAATCCCTTTTCGGCCCAATTTAGTTTTTTGAAAACATTTTCTAATGCCAAAGTAAATAATTTGGGTGAGATGGTGTCGCCCTGTCTCACACCTTTTCAAGGTCTATTTTCATAGTTTCCAGATCATCATCTATTTTTACGTGAAAAGTAGCATCATCGTATATATTCTTAAGGAGGGCAGCATATCTTGAATCTACTCTGACGTCGTCCAATGCTGTTAAGAAAGCCCATTTCTCGATACTGTCGAATGCTTTGTGATAATCGACAAATGCCAGATGTAGTGGTATGTTGTACTCTATTGTTTTTTCAATAACTGCCGGATTGTTTGCAAGTGATCGATAGTGCTAAAACCCTTACGAAAGCCTGCTTGCTCCAGTGGTTGGTATGCATCTAGTTTAGCTGTCAATCTATTTGTTATTATTCGGGTTAGTAGTTTGTATAGGTGTGACAATAAGCTTATTGGTCGGTAATTTTCTATATTTGCGGCGTCCCCTTTTTTATGGAGAAGAATGACTTCCGCATTTTTCCATGTCTTTGATATTTGTCATTCCAATAGGCATTTATTCAGTAATGCTCGCATTGCCTCTTCTAATGCAGTGCCTCCCATTTTTAGCATCTCCGAAATAATTTTATCTTCTCCTGGTGTTTTCCCATTTTTCATTTGTTTTAGGGCGGCTCTAATTTCTGATGTTATTATTTCAGGGAGGTCATCTGAGCCCACATTTAAGATATGTTTTGTTGGTATACCGGGGTTCGGAATAGTAGAAGTATATAGCTTCTCATAAAATTTTCGGATTTCTCTAACGATCTCTTCCTTATGCGAGCACAATGTTCCACGGTCGTCTTTTATCTTTATGATTTTATTGCTGCCAATGGATTTACATATTTTCAGTACTTTCATGTTCTCTATGGCTTCAAGAATCTGGTTTGTTCTATAAGCTCTGAGGTCTTTTCGAATATTTTTCTTAAAGCTTTTGTTGAGCGCTTTGTAGTCCGGGCTATCTCTGTGGTTAAATATACATCGATCAAAATGACGTATATGTTACTGGGTTGACTGCGATATAGCCGAACTGAAACGTTTTTTTTTAATGTATAGTTATGGGATTAGTTGATGGTCCCGCAATAAATTTATATTGGTCGAAAGATCCCATGTTCAGAAATGAGTTTATTACGACTACCATGAGACGAGACAGGTTCCTTTTACTGATGCGTTGCATTCATTTTCGTAATAATCGTACTAAAGATGATCGGCTCTATAAGTTAAGGGAAGTGTTGAAAGTACTGAATAAACATTTCCAAGCTGCATTAACTTCATGGCGGATTTTGGTAGTCGATGAAAGTATAGTACCTTATTAAGGAAGACTGCAAATAAAGCAATATCGGCCAAATAAAACACACCCATATGGAATTAAATTATATAAGTTATGTACAGTGGATGGTTATTTTTTTTTTTCAACCTATTCTCTATCCTTCCATTGTTGGATATAGGTCTCCCCCAGTTCTCTCCATCTTTTCTTATCTTGAGCTGTTCTCTACCATGTGGGACTTCCTTGTTTCCTGATGTCATCTTTCCACCTCATCTGTGGTCTGTCTCTTGATATCTTTGCATTGTATGGACGCCATTTTCCGATGGCATTGTTCCATCGTCCGTCTTGGAGAGGTTCATTGTGTCCAGCCCATTTCCATTTCAGTTTTGCTGCTTGTTCTATCGCGTTTACTGTCTTTGTTCTGGTTCTGATCCACTGGTTACGTTTTCTATCTTTAAGTGATATACCCAACATTTGTCTCTCCATCGCTGTGTGTGCCTTCCTTATCCTATCCAAATTGGCCTGTGTAAATGTCCATGTCTGTGCTCCGTAGGTGAGCACCGGTATTATACAGGAGTTATATACCTTGCTCCGTAAGTATAAAGGGATTGTTTAATTTTTTAGAAGTGGATGGTTCTACTAACAACATAATTGTTTATCGTGCTAAAAATACGACTACCAATGTAAATACTGCTCAGCGTGAGCAGGTAATGTATGGTCTTCTTGAACATGTTGAATTCGAAAATGGCTGCTATCGCTACTTGTATGCTGATAATTATTACTCTAGTTTACCTTTAGCCAAATCATTATTCAAAAAACAAATAATTTATTGTGGAACCCTGAGGTTCAACAGAAGAGGTATTCCCAAAACGGTACCTAAAAAAATAAAAAAGAGAGAAATTTGGGGTATACAGAACAACTCCTTACGTATTATAAAATGGATGAACAAATGGACAGTTCTGATGTTAAGCACTGATCCAATGCATACAACTACTTTAGAACCAACAGGAAAGCGAAATTGGCAACGTGAGTTTGTATTGAAATCAAAGGTAATTATTGATTACAATCAAGCAAAAAAAGAAGTAGACTTTAGTGATCAGATGAGTTCTAATCATTTCGTTTTAAGAAAAAGTTTAAAATGGTACCGTAAACTAGCCTTTGAATTTTTGCTTGGAACATCTATAACTGTGAAATTTTTTATCATTAAGTTTTGGAACATTGTTGTGGTTAGAGCATTATTCCATCTAGATTTTTACTCTATTTTTTGTGATCTGTCTTTCATATCTTACAACGAATTACCGAGTAAAATCTAAAAACCGTGGTTAAAAGAACGTGTTGAATTGTATTTGACCACATTTTAATATGCAAATGCTACATCCTTCTATACTTCATTATGCACAAATAATTAATTTTAATATATTAGTTTCCGAACAATATTAATAATTTAATTGAAGACATAGGCGGATCAGGCAACATTAGATATAACAGCTTAAAAAATATAATCACTATTGCATATAAAGAAGGTTCTTCCATAGTTGCCGCTACTTCCCATTTAAGGAGAAGTACTAAAAAAGAGACAATCTGCCCATGTTAGTTAATTAGTGTAAGACTTCAAAATTTTCGATCTTCGTATCGACGAACCTATAAAACTAAGTTTTGTAATTATTTATTTTTGTTTCAGTGGTCTTTTGTCGTCGCAAAGAGAAGTAGCGATGATATCAGAAATGATCCACACAGCCTCACTTGTTCACGACGATGTCATCGATCAGTCAGACTTTCGAAGGGGTAAACCTAGTGTTAATGTCAAATGGAACCACAAAAAAGTAAGTTTTATAAATTTTCCACTAATTTCCAATACTCTACAAGATAATATGTTTAACAAGGTTTGACAAGTTATAACGAGATTATTTTTATTTAATAATTAACTCACACAAAACAGAAAGGAAAACAATATACAATTGATGTAACAACTTTTAGATTGTTGGGTATATCAACAGTATTCTAAGCCTGCAGTTTTTAATAAAATATTCCTAACTGCCGTTTGTGACGCGCTGTTATTAATTAGTAAAAGACCATTTGTGTCAGTTACAAAGGTAAAATAGTAGGCTTTGAAAAAATGGCATATTATTAAACCGCAAAAGGAAGGCTTTGAAAATGATAGTTTTCATCCGTCATTACCTTTTTAATCCATCTGTGTTTCTTGTCTTTAACCTTTGTGTCTATACCCAGGTACCTGGGTATCCTTGGTAATTGTTTTATCTGAATCATTGACGATAGTATAAATATTTTTATTCGAGCTTCTAGTTATTCCTAAAATTATTTAGAATGAAGAGATTTATAATAAAAACCAAAGAAAAAAATGCATATAATACCTATATTAAAATTACCTGTCAAAGTTTTTACACCATTACGTCCACACCCGTGGCACCCGGGTAACACTAATGTTTAGTAAATTATGAAGCTCTTTCTAGTTTTTTTTTATAATAAAAGTGATATGGAAACGTAAATAAAAGTTACATTTTAAACACATTGTCCACACTTACTTATATTTACTGAGTGTTCGTTACATAGTGGACGATTACAAACATTACATGATTTTCGTATCTTTCTTAGTCGCTAAAGACATACAAATGTAGCAGTTTCCAACAATTTTGAGGCGTCCAGTGGAATCTCGAAGTGGTAATGACTCTGAAGTATTACTTGAATCTGTAGGTAGAGGTTTTCCTAACATACACTCAATTCCTGACCTTGATGAAACATTTCGGTATACATTTGGTTCTTTAGATCTAGCAGAAATTGCAGGCATCACTAGTTGTTTCACTAAGTCTTGTAGAAAAATTCTACGCTTACTGGTTTCAGTAGAACTCTGTGGATTATTCTCTGTATAAATTATATAGGTTGCTAGGCAAGCTACGTCTAGGATATTGTAAAAGAAGGCCACTGGCCAACGCAAAGTTCTGCGTTTAGTGGAATAATGAGAAACCATTTTGTCCATATTGTCTACGCCTCCTTTAGTTGTATTATAGAACTGAATTATTTCAGGTTTATTTTTTGGGCCACTTACATTATCGTTGTCATGCATTGTTGACAGCAAGATAACGCTTTTTTTCTTTTTTGGTACATATGAACAAATAGTAACACGAGCACTGAATCTGTGTAATGACGATTCAGGCTCACGCTCTGGCGAAGGCAGCATTTCTTGTGGAATGTATGGTTTGTTTGTTTTCAAAGTACCAACTAATGATAAATTCCAAGACAACAGGAGACGGGCTAGTGGAAGAGTTTTGAAAAAATTATCCATTGTTATGTTTCGTCCAGAATTTTTGTATCGGTAACACAAATCTTTTACTACGCGTTCACCTTGATTAGTTTCACGTCCAGTCAAATTTTTTCCAGTATAAATGTGTCCAGTAAGTGGATACGAATTATTGGCGTCACAAACCCACCAAACCTTGATGCCATACTTGGCAGGTTTTGCTGGCATATATTGCGTGACCTACCTCTAAAAGGAAATAACTGTTCATCCACAGTAAGAGAATCCGACGGTACATAGTTACGACGTAAATTATCATTGAGAAGATGGAATATATCTGTAATAGCTGCCGCTTTATCATTTTGCAAACGTTCTGCACGTGTTTTGTCATTGTCAAACCGTAAGAATCTGCTGATGCTCCAAAAGCGATTTATGCCCATACTTGCTCGGTACAAAGGATGAGAGTCTGTTTTCCATAAATCTTTCGAGTGCTCTGAATTTGAATGCCGTACTCCTGCTGTAATAAGAATACCTAAGTATGCATCAAATTCTTCTGTTGTGAGTGACTTCCAAACATTTCGAGGTTTGTCGGGGTTTTCAACATTATACTTTTCACAAACGCTATTAGCTTTTCGATTGGTTTCGCGTATAATTATGTCACACATTACGTCACTGAAAACACATTTGAATGTATCTCTAATCGAAAGAGTTTTAGTAGAACGTACTGGGCCCGTTTTTTCACGCAAAAGGTTACTTTTCAGTGTTCGACTTGCAGTAAACGGTTTTCGTTGCTAAATCGTTTTATGTTTTGCAACCAGAACATCACTTTGGGAAGAACTTCCTTGAAAATCGTCAAAATCTTCATCACTACTATCGTCGCCGTCGGTATCGATTTCAATCTTATTATAGATATCAGTAAAGACGTCCTCTACGTCAGAAGCTTCATCTCCATCCGGTTTGCTTTGCGAAACATAGTCCTCATCTGATTCCTGGTTTTCGATATTTTTGTCTACTTCCTCATCTATATCGTCTATAAATTGTTGCAGGTACTTCTGTTGCTTTTCATACGTCATTCTAAAATTGAATGATCTATGTATAAAACATTGTAAAAATAAACAGTAATAACTTACATTCTAAATTCGCTAGCACTCACTTCTCTTCTTGCCATTATTACAAGTAATTACAACATAAAACACGCATATAGTCACAAAAATATTAACAACTTTTAAGCACAGTTAAATAAACACTGATAGCAAACAAAGAAAAATCCCAATTGTCTGTTATTTTCGGAATGTACAAGCGAAGTTTACCAAAACAATGCCGGGTACCTGGGTAGCACGGGTATAGACTCCCGTATCAGGTACTTGGGTATAGACATAACGGTTAATGTTAAAAATGTGTTTTTATGTAGAAGAGTTAACAGATATGATCTGGGTATTAGGAGAAAGTTCGAGAAATTGCTTACTTGCATCCAGAATATCTATCTATCTAGTCAGCCTTAAACGCCCACTCTTGGGCATAGGGCTCCCCTGTTAATCTCCATTGGTCTCTATTTTGGGCGATCTGCATCCAGTCCTTTCCTGCCGTTCTCTTAAGGTCGTCAGTCCATCTCATCTGTGATCAGAATATATTTCGAGCGAAATCCTGAACGGAGGAAGCCAAACGCAAGAGCTTTTGAAAATTTAATGCATCGTTTTATTCGCACTGGGCCAGTTGTGTATGAAAAAAATGAGAGAACCAAATCTTCTAAAGTGAAGAAAAGCAATATGATGTACTGATAGCTAGTAGATAAGCTAGAGCAAGTAGATAATAAAGATAGATGCAAAGAAAATTGGAAACGAATTGTAAAAAGAATTTCATATCATTTAATAAATCAAGCATTGACCTAGCAAATCCCACACGATAAAAAAAGCTATTGCGACCAATACTCAATTAGAAGGGATGGACCTAGAAATAAAGAAGGAGTTAACGATAGACTGATCATATATGTACACTTCATTAAAGAGTTATTAAACAAATGACCCTTCGTATAACAACCGGATACGCCTATGATATACGGCTCGAACCCCAAAACAAAAACTTTCATTGATTGAAAGCGGTATCTGGTGAATTTTAATGAAATCTCACTTTTAGCTTTACTATCATTTGTACACAGTTTGAGTGTTTGTCATTGGAATGTTTTCACGTGCCCATCTATTTTCATCATATTTACACAACCCGATTTAGTGTTCGAGTGATGTAAAAATGTATATTTTGCACTATTATAATTATGTACGAAAACTTTCACGCAAATTTATTTGGACACTGCTATACTAAACTGATGGGTTATTCGGCATTCTTGTATGATTATACAGCACTACTCGAATTAATGGAATCATAGGCTGTTTTAATAAAAAAACTATAAAGGTAAGTATACATCATTGAGTAGAAATATGTCCCCCTTTTTTCTGCAATTACTGCTGTTATCCGCTTTGGCATAGATTCTACGGTCTTCTGCCAGTTCCAAGATATCCTTTTATCTCGAAACCAAACCTGACCCTATCCTTTTATTTTTGTTGTACAGTCAATTTTGCGCAGTCTAGCTTTTTTTAATGGGATTGAGGTCTGGCGAATTACCGGGCTAACCTATAACATTAATCTTCTTATTTTTAAAAAATCATTTGCTTTGACGCAAGAAGAACCGCTCTTCCTTGGGACTGACATTTTCGGAGTTCTGTGTCCAAACGTTATTCTAACATGGATTTGTATTTTTGGCTGTTCATCATGCCTTCGGTTGGTATCAAAGTCCAACCCCTATGTATGACAAATATCCACAAAACATTTTTTTTACTACATGTTTCACGGTTTGATCAATATGAGATGGTGTAAGTTTTTATTGTCAGACTTCCTGACGAATTTTCACCGCTGTACCTGAACTATAAAGTGAATTTAATCTGTAAATAGGACGACTCTCCAGTCGTCTACAGTCCAATTTGAGTATTTTTCGGTCCACAATATCCCACAATTTCCATAGTGATCGGACAATGAATTGATAGGAAACTCTTAAATATTGGGGAAATCTGCAAGAAAGACTCTAATGAGTATCAATTGTTTCGCCGAACGTCTTTACCAAAGATAATTAATTTGGCTTCTTCAGGGTTGAAAGAGAAGAAATTATAATTAGCTATTATATATTATCTAAATCATGAATGTGTTGCTTGTGTGAGTCCATTTCAAATAGGTAAAGAAATAATAAATAAGACTTACTCACAATCAATTTAATTTAACTATTCAGATGACCGGTTTCGCTTTCTACAATATGCAAAGCATCTTCAGGTCTCGATACAAAGTTAAATAAATGCTGAAATAATAAAAAACCCATATTAGTGTGTTGTCTAATAAAGATAAACAAATTATATGTTATAAATTACAATAATTATGCCAATATTACATGTCTGTGGTTTTTCAAAATCAATAAAAAGAAATAAAAAGGTATAAACAGTTTTAACAGACAAGGTAAGACCCACAAATTGTTATAAAATAGTCTATTAGGTTGTAATAAATTAATAAATGAGCAAATAAATAAACATT